ATGGGGGTGAAAGGGCACAGCACAGCAATGCACAGCACAGCACAGCAATGCACAGCACAGCACAGTAATGTACAGCACAGCAACGCACATCAGTTTTGGGCAGCCCTTTGTCCATTGCTATGCCCAGGCTGCTCTCACCTTGCTGGCAGCAGCATCTTGGCTGCAGAGCCAGGCCAGGAGGAGCAGGAGGTGGCAGCCGAGGATCCCCGTGCTGGCAGTGGCAGTGGCAGTGCTGCTGGTGGGGAAAAGCCTGCTTGGTCCCTTTCCTAGCAGCAGGGGCTGTGGCTGGGCAGAGGCTGCCCAGGCCGGGCCTCCTGCCAAGGGCTGCCTCAGTGGTAGATGGGCCAGAGCTCAGCACCCAGCCCAGCCACATCCTGCTCCTCCGGCCAAGGGAGGAATCCCGGGAGAGCACAGAGGGAGGGCGGGGGCTGCAGTGGAGGAGCCTGGGCCACGAGAGCACCATGGCAAGGGATGGTGATGGGAGAGCCCATGGGATGCTGTGGAGGATGGACAGGGTTAGCACTGAGCCACACAACAGGCACAACAGGAGCCAGGTGGGTGTTTGCAGCAAAGCTTTATTGGACAAATCAGGGGATGGGGCAGGAGTGGGGTTGCAGGCCAGCCCAGGAGCCCCTGTGCTGCTGCCCTCACTCCTTTCCGTGCAGGCGGGGGGAGAAGTTGATGCCCACTCTCTGCCAACTCTGCAGGGACACAGAGGGAGGAGATGTTAAAGGTGGGAAATGCAGCCCCTTGCAAAGGGGAAGTGCACTCACCCGGCACAGAGCACCCACCCCACCCATCCCACACCCCCTGTGCCCCAGCAGCGTTTGCTCCTCAGCAGGACCCCCAGGAGGCCATGCATGAGTACCTCAACCTGGGTCTAGCCATGGTGGGAGAGCCCTGACCCCAGGGGATGTTCAGGGTACCCCTGAGTGGCAGGGGGAGGGAACTGACCTGGTGGCTTTCCAGTCATCCTTGATGTCGTCTACACGTGACCGCAGGAGCCACATGGTCCTCAAAATCTCCTTCCCATCCTCATCCACAAAGCACTGGCCCGTGAAGACAGTGATGGAGTCTGTGGGGAGGGGGTGGGAGGCTGCGGTGAAGGTCGGTGCCAAGCCATGGCCCTGTAGCTTGTCCCAGCACAGAGGACAGTAGACCCAGGCTGCCCTGCCCTCTGGGGACAGTTGTGACAAGGGATGCAGGCAGGAGGGGTCAGAGGGCTGAGGGTCTCATGTGGAGAAGGACATACAGCTGAGTGCACCCTCTGCACAGGGAGGTGTCACCAGCCAAGGAGCTCTGATGTCCTTGGATGGAGGAGAATCGGGGGCAGCCCAGGGGATGGGAGAGCACTGAGGACAAGGCACAGGAAAGCAGAAGGTATTTGAGAGCACTGCAGTGCAGGGCAGGAGAGCATCAAAGCCATCACAGGGAAGGGCAGGAGAGGTCTGGGAACACCAAAGGGAAGCTGGGAGAGGAGAAGCACCTGAAAATGTCCAGTTGACGGTGAAGCCAAAGGTGGGCTGGCTCTGCTGGTTGCTGAGGTGCTGGGTCCCCTGGAGGGGTGACTTCTTGATCTCATTGGAGGTGGCAGTCACAGCCGTGTGGTAGGAGCCGGTGAATCCACCCTGTCCATTCACAGC